AGGAGGGAAGAGGAGTGGGGGGGGATGTACAGCTCAATTTTTAAAAAAGGCAAAAGAAAAAAAAAGCCCACTGACAGCCCATGGGAATACGAAGAGAGCTGTTTGTGGAAAGAAACAGACTTTTATCATCTGTTTTGGGGTGACAACTAATCTCACCAAACAAAGGCAGTGACCAGATTGGATGCAGTGTAAAACACTGTGGTAAACAAAGCCTGTCCTGAAACAAACAGGTTCACCTGCACTCTGAGGGTGGAAAACAGAGTTCTGAAGATGTCAGGGGAGACAGTGGCTCATGGGACCTCGAGGAGCTCTTCCATAGCTCCACTCCTATACCAAGATATGGAGGTGAAGTGTTGTATTTATTATTTTATGTGTATGGGTGTTTTTGCCTACATGTATGTCTATGCACTACATGTGTACTTGGAGCCCTTGGAGGCCACAAGAGGCAGCCAGATTCCCTGAAACTGGAGTAACAGACAGTTGTGAGCGACCACGTGGGCCTAGAAATGGAACTCAGGTCCTCTGGAAGAGCAGTTAGCGCTCTTAAGCACTGAGCCATCTCTGCAGGTCCATGATACATTTCCTTATTCTTTCACACAATCAACAGTTCCCACTAGTATACAAGTCACATGGGTCACAACAGTCGCCATCACAGAATGTTCCCAAACTCCCTATATCCAAGGATCTAAAGAAGAGTAAATGTCCATGTGGGAAGCAGTGTGAGGGGGAAGCTGAGGAATAAAACCAGAAATGACAAGGACTGAAGAGACTTCAAGCAGGAAGAGAGAAGAAGCCAACAAGGTGTTGTATTAGAAACACCACCATCTCAGTACTGTTAGGATCCATGATGATTGGTGGGATAAGACACAACGCCACACAAATCAGGTGCGGCAGCAGAGAAATCAATAAAGCCTTGGGATGGGAAGAGCCAGTTAGAACAATCAGCAAGCCCTAGAGATTCATAAAAGATCAGTTAGTCACACACACACACACACACACACACACACGTATGCATGCTTTACAGGTGATGCTCTGCTAGGTACCAAGTGAAGAAAGCATAGCTTATTCTTGACAACCACATTTCACAAATCAAGAGCTGTATCAACTGTGATTTCTTCTCTGTGTAGTTTTTGTTTTAATTAAAACTAGACCTTTCTCTCATCTTCAAGAAAATTTCTAGTTGGTTCTGATTTTAGACATGTTTTACTATTAATTACCATTTAGTTTGGGAACCAGACTGGCACTTATCACAATTGACAGCTATTGAATCTCAATTCTGGGACTAACACCCTTAGATGGTTATATTTACAAAAGTACTGCACAATTAAAAGCATTGTTTATTTAAAAGCTGATGTTAGGACACTTAAAATGGTTCAGTGGGTAAAGACACTTGCCACCAAGCCTAATTCAATCCCTAGAACACACAGAGTGGAAGGATAGATCTGACACTCAAAATTGTCCTCTGAGCCAGGAGTAAGGGCACACACCTTTAATTCCTGCACTTGGGAGGGAGAGGCAGGTGGATCTCTGTGAGTTCAAGGAAAGCCTGGTCTTCAAATCAAGTTCCAGGACAGCCAAGGCAACACAGAGAAACCCTGTCTCAAAAAAAAAAAAAAAGAAAGAAAAAAAGAAAAGTTGTCCTCAGATCTCTACATGTCATGCACCTGGCACATACACACACACTAATAAATAAATGTCAATAAATAAACATAATAGAAACTGATTTAAAGTAGATTACTGAGAATAACAGTCAAAAACATGAATTATCTACCCAGCTTTCTAAACTAAGACACTGAGATGCTCAAGAAAATAAAATTAACAAAAGACTGGGGGGGATCAAAATCCAAAACCAAACAAAAGGAAACACATTCAACTGATAGTTCTAATGTCCTTCTGCCAATCATCCCTCACCATCCATGTAAACTATTTTAAGGATCTGAATCCTGCTCTATAAAAAGCAAATTCCCACTGTCTGTGTTATACTTCAAGAGTCTATCACAGTTGTTACTAAGGCAAGCAAACTAAGCTGTAGATTTTTGCTTGCTATCAATACAAAAAGAAATGTTGGGGGGGGGGCAATGAGATGCCTCAGCGAGTAAAGGCACTGACTGCCAAGCCTGAGGATCCGAGGGACCCACATAGCAGAAGAAAACCTATTCCTACAAGTTGTCCTTTGGTCGCCACATGCCTGCTGTGTATGGTACACTCACACATACACAAATAAATACCTGTAAAAACAAAAACTAAAAACTTAGAGGCTGGCTGGGATGTAGCTCATTGACAGAGAGGGTCTAGTACACATAAGACCCTGAGATCAATTCCCAGCACTGTAAATCAAACTTTAAAGACCAGTTACTGTTGTGGTTTGTCTTTTGTTGTAACAAACACACTAACCAAAAGCAACTTAGGGGAGGAAAGGGTATTTTTTGGCTTGCACCTCCAGGTCACACTCCATTATTGAAGTCAAGGCAGGGACTGAAGCAGGAACTCCAAGCAAAACCCATGACAACCACTGGTTACTAATTTGCTCTCTCTCACTTGCTCCGCTAGCTTTTTCTTGTTTAATATTTAAAACTTTATATTTAAAAAACGCCTTCGCCACAGTTTTAAAGTTTGAAAAAGCTCTTTTTAAAATCATAACATCAAAAAATGAATAAACCTATACAGAAGAGCAAATTCATTTCAAAACTTTTAAAGATTAAAAGCTGTATCTATAGGCATTCACCCAGCTTTGAAGGGGTGGTGCCATCCTGAGGCAGCTGGTATCAAGGCTGCCTTAATCACCCAAATTTACAGCTTCATTCCTCCACTTAGTCCAGAAGAAAAAAAAAAATCCGACAAAGGAGCAAGTGTTCCCAGCTAACTTCACGGTTAGATCCCCCAGGTCTGCACTTGAAATGATGCAGGGTCTTTCATTCACTGTTTCCCTTACAAGCACTTCTATAGTTCTCTACTTTGGGGAAGGAGGTGGTAAGGGTGAATCTAGACTGTCTCCAAACAAAGTATGATATTGGGACATAACCTCTGCTATTTAAAATCACTGATTGATATGAGAGTGTTCCATGGAATAAATGTGTCCCGAATCCATAGAAGGTAAGAATAAATAATCTCAAAGTCAGTTATGAATCTGCTCACAAGGCAGCCTGTCCCTAGCTACAACTCATAAAACTGGGGTAGCATCCTGCCAGGCAAGGTGTTCCTCTAAGGTTGACATCGAGCCAGAATTCAGAAGTCTACAAACAAATTTTCATTAACATAAATTGGTACATAGAGCACAAAGAGTCCTCAAAGGCAGACGGAGAGTTTCATGGCTTCAGATCAAAAAGCAGGGAACAACAGAAAACAGACTACCTCAGGAGCTTTCTTGCACAGCCCAGACCTACTGGCCTAGGAATTGTGCTGGGCACACCCACATCAACCACCAATCAAAACAATCTCTTACAGACATGGCCATAGGCCAATCTGATCTGAGAAATTCCTGGGTCATGGTTCCCTCTTGCCCGGTGAAAGGAGGTTGTGTCAAGTTGACAATAAAAACTAGCAGTTACATGTTACCCATATGAAACAATGACGTACAAAAACTAAAATTTGAGTACTGCTACAAGGATGCAATTAACCAACTTTACAGAGATGAATGAACAGATAGCTCATTAAAATTTAAATCTTTCTTAGCAAGTATAAAAGATAAATAATATTCAGTTGTCTGGGCTCTGTGTTATTTTCCCTATCTCGATGTCTCTGCATCAATGTTACTATTCTTGCTCCATGGATGAGCAACCATACCCCTCTGTTTCGGGTTCCCTCATATAAGAGTTCCTTAAATGTCATGAATAACAGCAAAAACAATCATTTGTAAGGCCAGAATTGATACTAGCACGTGGCAACTGAATCTGGTGCAAGGGACGGAGTAGCATGCAACTCAACTGCATCGCTCCTGACTCTCCACGCATCACAGCCTCCCAAAGGACTAGAGCATCCAAAGCGCTCATTGCCACATCACAAATTACAGTATCAGGTTTAAAGAACTCACAGGTTCCACCATTAGGTCAGCGCTTCATGAACGAATCCCCTAACAGAAATCCTCTCGGGTGCGACACAACATGCTTTAAGGCTCCACCTAATCATTCTTTTAATTTAAGAAATAAATACAACTATTTTTAAAATCTATAGATATATTATGTAATGAGTTTGACTTTGGAAAACCCCGCACTCATCCAAGCCGCTTATAAAATGGAAAGCAGGATTCAATCCGCTCCATTGTACCCAACCAGACTAACGTTGCAAGATCACACACTCATCTTCGTCAGAGCGGCTCTGCCAATACCAAAGAACAACAAAGGCAAGTTGAGGAGGCTGCACAGGCTTAACTCAGCACTTGTCGGCTCTCCCTAGCTTCGCGAAGACCCTCGCAGAGGGGGCCCACCTGGGGACCAAGGGGACCTTCTGCAGCCCGCTGGGCCCCGGCTGCTCTGCTTTTGTCTGGCCCAGGCTGGGAGCCCCGGCCGCCCGGCCTGCCTCCCCGACAACCCTTCTTCCCTCTGAGTCTTTCTCCACACCCATCACTCGCCGATGACTAGTTGGAGTGGGGTTTCTTCTCCTGGAGCCCCTTCCCGCTCTGTGCAATACCGGGTTCTTTCAAAGACACCCGGGACTGCTTTGGCGTCTCCCAAGCCGGCCAGGGGAGACTCCGGGTCAAGAAGGGGCCCCGGGGTGGGGTCTGAAAGAGACAGGCACACAAAGCCAGGCTTGACCCCACAGCCGCCCCACCTCCCCTCTGCAAAGCAGCCTGCGATCAGGATTGGACCTGGCAGCCGCGCATCCTGGGTCCTCACCCCGATCCCATCCTAGGGCCGCCCCCTCCCCCAAAGTGCACCCCAGAGCGGCTGACAGCGTCGGACACCGTCCCCACCCGGACCCTGCCCCGCCGCAGCCCGGAAAAGGAGCAGGGCCCTCGGATGGACTCCAGTCTGAACATTCTTCGTCTTTAACCCGGTACTTACAGCTCTTATTATTCACTACTGTTGGGGCCGCGGACCGGACAGCCGCCGCCTTCTCCTCCACCCCAATGAGGTTAAGTGCTTGGTGCGGGGATTAAAAAAAAAAAGTGAGAAGCCAACTGCGCCTGCGCGGTGCGGCCTCACTGTGTTCCTTACCGCCACCAGCTCAGCTGAACCATAGAGACTGCAAACTCAGCCCAGAGAGGTGGCTTCCTCTCTATGGTAACTCCCGGTGCACTGGCCGCGCCAGATTCCTTTGCCCCGCTAGGGGGATGTTGATTGACCCTAATGGCGACCCGTAGCGTAAAGGCGGTTTAATGAAAAAGGTGACCAGGGGGTATTTAGGCCCCTTGGGGAGTGGAAGCAAAACTCGAGCAAGGCTAGGGGAAGGCTATGTGATATTAAAAAGAAAAAAAAAGAGCTTGAAAGGAGTCAGGAGAGAGTGGACAAGTTTTCCTGCCGCAACTTCCTTTGGTCGCCGGCGTATCTGATACTAAAGTGAACAGTCTTTTACGTCTGGGTTATGGGTACCCGCTATTCATCGGGCGATTGCGGAGAAGGAAACTGACCCCCACGACTTCCCGTAGCTGGCAGTGCGTTCCAGACCTCTTTTCTGGGCATGCGGGGCAGACGCCGCTACCGGAAGCACAACATTTAAACCGCTGTAAGCGCTTTGGCGAACGAAGCCCCGAGTAGGAGGCTTCTGCTGTACCGGCGAGCTAGTATCTGTTCCTTTCCTAAGTTTCTTCGCAGCAGTGCTGCCTCGCTCTCCCGCGTGGTCCTCAAGGTGTAGAAGTGTTCGGGCTGTGCAAACCACGGGTTCTGCCCGTGTGTTCCCCCACAATTTGGCTTTGAAAGCTTTTGTGTTGGAGTTGCACACTGGTGAAAATCACTGTTAAAAGTGTCGGTTGGCTTCCTCCATCGCGATTAGGTGTTTACGGGGACTTTTCTGGGCAAGAATGTGTGTGTACTGGGAGACGTGCGGTAGTGCCGTCAGGTCCTCAGGACTGGGGAGTTGGACTGGGAAGACAAGCTAAAACAAAGCCAAGTGCAGACCCTCTGTTGTGTAGAAAGGGCAAAGGACTATTTCTAAAGAGTAGGATTCGCATGCTGGGTGGGACTCCTGGTTGGATATAGAAAAAGTAGCATCTTTAATGCAGACAAGTTTATTGAAGCGCATTCTAGAAAAGAAACACCGCCGGGTCAAGCGGAAGTGGGTGGTGTGTTGGGCGAACAACGTGAAGAGTAGTTCTGCGGGAAAGGGAAAGAAAAGAGAAAACGCTAGTAAAGTTCCATAAGTACAACGGGAAGGAGTGTTCTACATGTTTTTTCAACAAAATTAAACGTTGTAGCTGGTTTTATTGTAGAGTTGAGTGAAGTTACATTGTTGTATGGCCAGCCTCCAGCTTTTTTGTCTCACAAAACAAGCCGGGCACTGAGTACTTAAAGTGGATTCACTTTGTCTTGTTCTTTGTGATTGGGTCTTGTCACATAGCCTAATAGATTTGTCTGTGCATGTTGCAGCGTGTCCAGAGTGCCCTCGTTAAAGCGAATACCATGCCAGTGTATGTATTTACCACCTGGGCTACTTCCATCTTTTGCTATTATACACAATGTTGTGAACATGGATGTCGTTCTCTCTTTTGGATCCTACTCTTAGGGGCCAGAAGATGGCTCAAGATGACTCTGGGTAAAGGCACATGTTTATAAGCCTGATTCCCTGAATTCTGTCACATTCCATAATGGCAGGGGAGAACCCACTCCTGCAAGTTATCCTCTTACTTCCACACAGACACTATGGACCATAAGCTCAACAACACACATGAAATAAATAGATGTGTTTTTAAGTCACTTTTAATAAAATGGGAAACCAAGTGTACCTTAACTTGGAGGTAATTACAAAGGTGAGGGAGTAATTGTTTGCAGTACTAGGGAGGAACAGGGCCTCACACTTGCTAAGCAAGTGCTCTAAGACTGAGCTAGACCCTTAGTCCCAAGAACTGTTTTAAAGTGACTCACCCAGAAGGCCAGGAAGCTACATTTATACTTTGTTTATACAAAGCATGTATGGAAGCCTGTACCCATCCCAGGTACTGTGTGAGTGCTTTCTGTGAATTATCCGTGTCATGAAGTTCAGTGTAAACTTGAGACAGTCATTACTCATCTCATTTTCTGATGAGATAATCAAGGTTGTGTTACAGATAGGTTGAGGGGAGGCCTGACAGCCACGCATTCCCGCTATCAGTTAGGCAAGAACAGTGCCATTGACCTGGACACTTGAGGGCACTGACAGGTCACTGCAGAGGGCAAGGATATTGAAAGAAAACATTCACATATATGAGTGGCTTTTTTGCAGAATGGGGACACTGAGGGCCTTGTGCATACTCAGCAAATGCTCACCGCATTACTCAGGAGAAGGGACAGACAGACACCACAAACTCGTGATTTGTTTGGTGGATTTTTTGTTTTTGGTTTTTTGTTGTTGTTGTTTTCTTAAGAGAGGATTTCTCTGAGGCCCTGGCTGTCCTGGAGTTCACTCTGTAGTCCAGGCTGACTTCAAACTCAGAAATCCGCCTGCCTCTGCCTCTGCCTCTCGAATACTGTTTTGTTTTTTATGTGTATGTGTGTGTTCAGGTGCCTGTAGAAGTCAAAATGAATTGTTGGATCCCATGGAGCTGAAGTTACAGGTGGTTGTGAGCTGAAGGATGCGGGTGCTAGGAAACAGACCTCAGGTCCTACACTGCAGCAATATGAGCTCTTAACTGACAAGTGTCTCTCCAGCCCCTCCACTGCCTCGTTACTGGTGTGCATAAAGACCCAATACAGCAAAATTGCATCTGCTAAATCCCTAGAACAAACCTGGACTTGATTACAGGCCTGCCTCTAACAAACACAGTGTCAGGCAGAAATAGGCTTTTCTTAGATAAGAACTCACAAAGATCCGCCTGCCTCTGCCTCCCAAGTGCTGGGATTAAAGGCGTGCGCCACCAACGCCCGACTGCTCAACCACCTTCTTATAGAACCCAGGACCAGCAGCCCAGGGATGACACCACCCACCATGGACTCGGTCCTCCCCCACAGATCACTAAATGAGAAAATGTCTTATAGCTGGATCTCATGGAGGCATTTCCTCAACTTAGGCCCCTTGCTATGATGACTAGCTTGTGTCAAGTTGTCATACAAAACCAGCAAGTACATACAGACTGTGTGTGGTAGCACTTTCCAGCACTTTCGAGACAGAGGTAGGCAGATTTTTGTGAGTTCAAGGCCAACCTGGTCTAGGAGCTAAATAATAGACCCTATCTCAAAAAACCAAAATAACCAATAAATTGTTTTAGCCAGGCGGTGGTGGTGCACGCCTTTAATCCTGGTACTCAGGAGGCAGAGGCAGGCAGAGTTCTGTGAGTTTGAGGTCAGCCTGGTCTACAAAGCTACACAGAGAAACCCTGCCTCAAAAAATCAAAATAATAATGATAAATAGTTTTGAAGTACCAATACTCAAGTTCCTCACATAAACTATAGTGTTTACATAAAGCCCACATGCAACCTTCTGTATTCTTAAAATCAGCTTAGAGTACTTAAACCAAGGGCAAGGTAAATGTTATATATAGCAGTCCTGGCAATTTTTACTGAATATTTTCAGTCATGTTTGGTGAAAGTGCAGCCAATTACGGTAGAGACTCCAGCGTTTAGAAGATGCCAGTAGCTTGGGACAACCACTAAGAACAGCAGCAGCTATGGAGTGGAGCTGACTTGAACCTATGAGATGAGCAATGTGTGCAGCCGAGGGTGGAGCTGGAGAAGTGGCCCACGCCCTTTGGTGGAGCCCAGGAGATCTTGAGCGAGTCCCAGATGTCTAGTCCTGAACTCTTTATGCATTGGACTCTGTTCTTGCTTGGATTTGATCGGGACTGTATGCTGGTTCTGCCCTCTTGGAGCAAGAAAGTATTTTACTTATTTAGAGTTTTTACTTATTTAGAGTTTTAGACTATGGCTATTTTAGAGACTTTAGATATTTTAGAGAGGCTTGAACTTTGAAAGAGACTTTGGATGTTTTAAAGAGAATACATTTTTAAAGTGCTTGAACATTTGAAGACTGAAACTTTTAAACATTGGAGTACTTTGTATTGTGATCTTGAAATTAACATGTGATCTTCGGGATGAACAAAAAGGAAAGTCATGATTGGTTGCATCCACAGATGTGGAGCGTATGGATATTGGGACTGTCTCAGTTAGGGTTTCTGTTACCTTAATAAAATACCTTGACCAAGAGCAACTTGGAGAGGAAATGCTTTATTTCATCTTACATTTTCAATAGTGTAGAGTTGGGGGGTGGGGCAGTGCACATCTTTAATCCCAGCTGCTGGAAAAAGTCAAAGGTTTTTGGTTTTTGGGAGTTTTTTCATTTTGTTTTGTTTTGGTCAGGTGCAATGGTATATTCTTGTAATCCCAGCACTTTGGAGAAGGAAGGCAGCTGGGTCAGAAATTCATGGTAATCCTTGGCTACAAAGTATGTTCAAGACCAGCTTGGGCTACATGAGATTCTCTCAAACAAACAAACAATAGTAAATATCCTAATTTCATTTCTGTTGTTGTGATAAAATATCCTAACATAAAGCAACTTTGAGCTCATAATTCTAAGCTATAGTTCACCATTGCAGAGACATTGACAGGAACTTAATAGAGCTATTCACTTCACGCCATGGTCAAGAGCAGAGAAAATGGCCTGCACGTTCACAGAGAGAGTTCCAGGACAACCAGGGCTGTTACACAGAGAAGCCCTGATTTAAAAAACAAAAAACAAACAAAAATCATTTCCATCACTCCCCCAAAGAATCTCTTCTATATAGTGGGTGGTAATAAAAATATCTATATAGCTACCTAAGAAGTAATGGCATGTCACTCTGCTGGAAGATGCTGCAATGAGAACAAGGAACACATGAGAAATTTTTTAACTCTTGCCCACATGGATGTCTGCACACTATATATGTATAGTACCTTTGGAGGCCAGAAGAGAGGTCAGATCCCCTGGAACTGGAGTGACTGTCTCAGAACTTGCTCTTTAGACCAGGTTGGCCTCAAACTCAGAGATTCACCTGCCTCTGTCTCCCAAGTGCCGGGATTTAAGGCATTTACCACA